CACCTTTTTCCAGGGTGTTGCTTGGACTTAGTTGACGGAATGTTCTCAGGAAAGTGTGCCCAATTTTTCGCTGCCAAACGAAATGGTGTATCGCTACTTGACGGACGTCCACGACGTTTATAATTTGGCAATGACAATTGCTCCAGCAATTCTTCGGCAATAGCTAAACGAAAGGAAGTAATGCCTGCCTTGGTTGTGCAGTTGATTTTAGAATATAAAACATGAGCATTATAAAAGGCCATATCTATTAGATAAAAAAACATTTTCTTATAACCCTTTACACATTTTCTCATAACTGGGAAGCACGCTAGCAATTGGTCTTGTTTATCAACGCCTCCCATACCTTTATTATACTCAAGCACAAATGCCGGTTTTATAATATTTTCGCTATCGCCACCTTCATTTTTTCTCCTTTTGCCTGTGTTTATCAAATCAGCATTTGAATGTTTCGTGCTAAGTATGTGAACGTCTTTTTTATCTCTCCATTTCAAAGCCAATAAACCGTGACTGGATAAAGTTTTGACTTCTCCTTTTTTCAACTTCATTGAAAAAAACACCTTTGTGTGTGTGTGTGGCATATTCTTCCTGTTTTTTCCGAACAGTTCCAACAGCATTCGTATCATTTTTTAGTAACGTCAGAAATAAAGGTGGTGATGAATAAAAATTATCCATATACAACGTGTAACCTTTTTTTAAAATAGGCTGTGCCACTTCCATGACTACACTCTCAGTAGCAGGTATATCACTTCCCTGGATTTTATCCTTGCCAACATAAATTTTGAAACGAATACAATAACCTGATGTAGATTCGCAAAGTTTATAAAATTTTATGCCAAAACGAGCTCTTTTGGAGGCAATAAATTGAATAAAACTCAATCGACCTTTGAATTTCATTAACGATTCATCAATAGCTACTTCACTATCAGGAGTATAAAGGTAACAAAATTTAGTATTTAGGTAATCCACTATATTTCTAATCTTTCTTATTCTGTCATCTTTATTTTCCTTTTCATTATCCGTAAAATGTAGAAAGCTTGAAATATCAAAAAACCTACCGCGTGGCATAGTGCTGGCAAAAATTGGAGTACTTATTGCATATCTTTTTGACCAATACATATGCATTTTCGGCTTCTTCATTTGCGACATCAAGATGCATAATGCAATATAAGCTTTCATTTCATCAGAACTTACAGGAAACACCTTTGGTTTTTTTTGTTACACAACCTTCTTTTTCTATCACTTGTCTGGCATATCTATTCGTCTCTTCTACTATAGTGTCCCAAAAATCTTCATTCAAGACTTCTTTCAAAACATCTAAAGGCGTAGGATTACCACCTAGTCTACGCAGGCTCAAAGGATTAATTCCAGATATTTCAGAAAAACTTTTTATATCGGCTACATTTTCTTCTTCTTCCCAAATCCATTCCTCTGATACTGGTTCACGAGAAGATTCACTATCACTGCTCGATAGACGTTTTGTGCGTCTTCGAAATTGTCATCATTTTCTATTTCACTATCGTCTTCATCACCTTCGCTTTGTATTTCATTGTAATTGTCAATTTCAGGATCACTAAATAATTCTTCTTCAGATTTCTCAAAGTCACTTTCGCTCTCATAAAATATATTCCTTGTTTTTGACATAATGGGGCAGTGTATCACAAATAATATTCACCGAAATACTGTAATTGCCTCTTCTATTATGACTGATACAAGCTACAATGAAATGAACAGAATTGTGCCTAACCTCAAATAACGTTTTAGACATGTCATCCGCTCCTAGGGGAAAAAAGTGAATGACGTGCTCAGACGTCAAATGTACCCAAGGGGTTAATTATCGACACACGAAATTGCAAATTGAGGGGCTAGTGTAGTCACGTGACTTTAAGGATTTAGCAGGTCGGTATCTGCTGTACAGATTTCGTTATATAAATGATATTATCTAGAGATATGTAGTTGTTTGATAAATATGAGATGGAGCCACCGGCGTTTTCCATTAGGGATGAAAAAGATAGCCTGTTAATCGGCTTCTTGTGTTCAACGCTTACCGACCGGTAGCCTACTAATCAGCTTTTTGCACCAAGCGCTTACCGACCGATAACCTATAAATCGGCGTTTTACTTCGACCAGTTGCCTTCGATTGTCACGGCAACCGATAATATGTTATCCACTATTGAGATGAAAGTATAAAAAATATACAATTTTTTTACATATTACACATACCTTTCGCGTTGAATAAAATAAATAAAATACATCAAATAAGTATTGGTTAATGCTAATTTCATGAAAATATAAAAATGTTTAAAAAAATTACTGTGTAATAACAGAATAATATATAAAACAATATTAAACAAAGTCTGATTTAACATTTCTGTAACAGCTGCTGCTTTATTATATATAATTTATTATATATATAATATATATTATATATTTATTAATTAAATATTAAATAACATATATATATATATATATATATATATATATGTTATTATTATTATTATATATATATGCAGAATTGATTTATAGGAATTTAATTATATTTTTTATACTTCTACATTAGTTCACGACATCGTTGCTTCATCGTTCCGAAAGTAAAGCAATGATGAGTCATGTAGTAATCTATTGACACGAGCGTCGCTGTAATGCGCCACGAGTAGTTTCTACGGAATGCGTCTGAGATCGGCCGAGCCAAAGGGGTGCGAGTGCTGCGACGGGAGTCAGGAGGCGTTGCCCTCGTGGCATCGATGTTGCATATAGTCTTGAAGTCTGACATTCGCGCACTGCGTTGAATCTTCTTCTTTTGAATGATACCAATAAACATCGAAGAAAATGCTGATTTAAAATAGTTAAAATAGTCATCCTGTAAACCCGTTTTCGTCCCATTTTGTCGGTAATTGTGTCTTCTACCGTTATCTCCTCGCTAATTGTGTCTTCTACCGCCCAGCCCCTTAAATACACACTTACCATCGAATACGGTTGACAATGATTCTACTCACCTGAAATACCAAATGATGGCACCACTTTGCAATGGGTTCAGCGCCACTACTTCTGATGGTAAAATGCTGAAGCCGTGAGCCAAATTACCGACTGCAACGCTGCATTACCGACTGCAGGAACTTTTTATAGAAAAGAAATAGTGGCTCGTTACCGATATTTCAGAAATTTAATTGTATAAACAATAAATTCGTTAATAAAAGCAGTTTGATTTAATAACCCATCGATCGATTTCTTCTATTCTCTTCATTTCTATTTTTTGTTTGATTATCTCGAAAAAAGTAAATTATATTATCTGGTACAATACATAGATATTTTGTAAGATCTTCAGATTATTAAAAGACTCCAGGCATGATCTAAGCCTATCTTTTTTTATATTTCAATAGGTTTATCAACGGAATTATCATCTGCGAATAATTTTGGAGTGCTGCGGTTTGCCACTATGTCTAACGGTGCTGTTTCGATGTTTTCGTAAGCAGATGATTCGCGCCGTCTTTAACACGAGCTCTTGCAAGGAAAGCGGCAAGAATCATCTGTCCTCTGTGTATTTGCGATTATAAATGAACTGTTCGATCGAGAATAAACTGTTTTTACGAACGCAGCACCGATCCATTGGAAAATATCGTTCCAAAATTGGTTGGGAAATAGAATGACCGTTCGGAAATCAATATTTATACTGCTCCGCAGTCGCTGCAGCAGACTCGCCGAGTCGTGGCGCCACCTTCGATGTCGCTTCATCCTCGATAGACCGATAAAAACAAGTCTCTGCGGAGAAGTAAACGTCTGCGACAGGTTCGCAGAACGGTCTGCCAATCGCAGCCCCAACGAACGCCGATTGCCCTAGGCCAAAGAGACGTTCCCTGAACGCGTCTTCGACAGTTCCAACGACTGCCATGATTTGTTTGATTAGTCTGAGGAAATATACAGAACGGGGCCGTCTGTGTGGACTCCGGAGGAATGAACTCGACAGACTCAACAGAATCCACCGTGTCCGCCTCATTAGCCCTCGGCCACCGAATCATCGCCGCCGTTCATGCCACTTTGTTCCGCCCAAATTTAGCCATGCCGCGGAGCGAACAATACCCACCTCTCGGAATCATTAACACAAGGATTGACAACATCGTGCGAGCAAAAATGCACCAATTTCGAGGTTTCAATTTGCGGCGATTAAACAGATCTGCTGTTACTACTTCACGAATATTCAGAACATTTTTGTGACAATTCT